TAGCTATTGTCAATACTTCTCTAACAGCATGTACTTACTACCGGCATGCTGCCAGACAACATTGATCAAATTTTGCTCGGGCAAATGTTTCAAAGCTACTTCAATTTTCTGCCTAGAAGTTTCAGATTTGAAACTTCACCTGTGCCCTTCGGAAATGTTAAAACCAAAAAAACTTATCACATTTACACGGCCTTTCAAGAGCCTGGGGCAGAGCTACAGAGTCAAAAACACTTAGCCCTCCTACAGCTTGAGTGGGCGTTACCTCAAGAGAATCTGTGTAGTCACCTACAAAGTCAATATTTTCCTGGTAAAATGGACAAGTTAAATCCAAGCCTGCTGTAGCAGACTTCCTTTTTTCCTTAAAGATTCAGTTTTTGATGTTGCCTGGGTCAATGTGACCTGGAACAGCAGAGAAAATGAACTTGTATATCAGGAGGAAATATTAAAACATGCTATAAAATCTAGTTTTTGCATGTTTGCAATATTGGATTGTTAACAGCTAGGCAGACTAGCAAGAAATAGGACACTTTAGGATGTGAAACATACATATACAGCTGGATTATATCTAGAATGACTGAAGCCAACTTTGGAACAATTCAGGCCTACGTTCACTTAGCTTGCTCACTTCTCAACAAAAATCTGTGGTTTCTCTTTTCATGGCTTAAAATAAAAAAAAAGTTAAATACAGCTTTTCCAAAATGTTATACCAGATCTTTAATTCTGCTGCCTACATAATACATTACATATATATAACATAGCTTTACAATTAAATTTGCATGCTTGTTTGAATAAATCATCGGCTATGACACTGTCAGATATTGCAGACGGCATTTTAGGATCTGATCAGCATCCATGGCAAAACATTGCAACAAGGAAGAATGCGCTATTTCGTCGACAGATGAGAGCGGCGAAGATGATGAATCTTGATGATACTAATATCACCAAAAAAAATAAAAATAAACAGACTGGTTAAGTAAAAAAAGTCTGGTTTTCCAGAGAAAGTAGGAGTTCTATCGCTATATTCATTCCATCAACCGCAATTTCCTCCTACACATCCAAATCCTTGTGACATTTCCTTGTTGTCCTTCAAAAGCAAATACACTTGATCACCTCTTAGGAAGCGGAACAGGCTGACATACTGGATGATGTACAGCGCTCTTTTTTCCTGACGTCAATCTGTAACTGGAGATTCTCTATTCCCTGGGCGCTATCACTGTCCGCGTGCTGCCTCTCCTTACACGAAATGCTAACATTTATACAGCCCGTGTCACATTCAGCAACTGCAAGACAGGGTGTCTCCAGAAGTTATGAATTCATCTTTACCATTCAGCACATGCAAAAGACTTGGAGCATTTATTTGAATGATGTTGGAGGAAAGATGGCTGAAAGACTATATCATGCTGAGTAAAAGGAGCATAGATTATTGAAACAAAGCCAATACAAAACGATCATTGAGTGTTGTTTGAATAAGGAAGTATTTTTTTAAATGACTACATTTGCAAGGCTCACAGTACTTTCTAACAGGTGGGTATTTTGAGCCCTGTAGATGTAACTTCAACTGTAACCCAACATCATACAACTAAATCGGCACTTGCTGCCTTTGAATGGCACATTGGGATATACCGTATATATCCAACCATCTTCATGAATGACTATTCTATTTTTAATTCCTACTTACTAAGTCATACTTCTCTAAATATTACTTTGATTCTACTACCACCTAGTATCTAAGCATATTCTATAGTTCTGTGCAATGGTTTCATTTATGCCTGTTTTAAATATTCTGATATATGGTATATCTCATTATCTGGCAGTCTTTTTTTAGACTTACAACCATCTACCCTTCCATCAAGGACTTTACCTACTAAAAAACAGAATGGTATAACCCTTCACCCTACTGACTATCAACAAAATTTATATATAGAGACAGTCAATGTTAGGGCCGTGACCTGACTGTGACATTGTGTCCCTGTGACGTTAGCGTGAAAGCTAAACTTGGAAACAGTAAGGACAAATCTTAGTTCAAATAAGATAAAATGAACGAACATGTTTCATCTTTATCCAAGCTGCATGTATATATATTTGAGTTTCTTTCAAGTGCAACTAGTACTAGTATTCGCAAGACATACCACTAGTAGGAAATAATTTGTATGACGCAAAGTTTAATTCATGGGTAAGAAACTTCTGTTTACTATATATGCAAAATACATATCAACAACAAGTGTCTGGTATTTAAGTTAAATCACAATTTAATTATAATCTAGAATGATTCAAATTCATAACTGCATATAATACCTGAGGCGATCATAATAATTTTCAATTCTGTGTCATGCAGTGCAGCAAATCTTCTGTAGTTGTAATTCCAATATTTTTTTAATTGTACTAACAAAACCATAAAACTGAAAACCCTTGAAAAAAACGTCTTAAAAAAAACGCATATTTTACCTAAAGTCTGCAACTGAAAATTAGCCATATTGTACCATCAAAACATGTAAAATTCTAAGGTAAACTTTTGTCCATAAACAAGGATCAAAAGAAAATTTGCTGCCTTCACTTGTTGCAACTACATAACTTTTCATTTTCGAATTTTATTGTACATTTTTCGTACTAAAATAAAATTTGCCTTTACATTTCCTCTAGTCATTGTTCTGCAAAATGTTACGTAAGCCTTTGTTTCCACTTTCATAAATTTACCTCTTTGTGCTTTCAACGCCCCCCTTCCAACTTGTCTTACACTTTTCAGCAAATCCACAAGACAACATATGATCAAAAGTCTTAACTTTTCTCCTGCCTTACTTTACCAATATCAAAATGTAACAGAAGAAGTTGCGGGTGTAAAAGATTGTGAGTATATGGTAAATTATACTAATTTTTGACGTAACCACTATGGCTAAACTGCGATCAACTCGGAGCAAAAAATCCCCAAATTCCCCCAGAACTGAGCGCTGAACGCTTTCAGGGGAGGGACACGGGAGGAAGTATTTTTTTCCGTTCCTCTGCCGCTCTTTCCTCACAGAGATGACAATGTTTGATCCTCACGTGCCACACGTGCATCAGGTGATGCCAAACATCGTCAGAAGTTCCATGTCGGTGCCGCCTCGCACCAGCATGGCAGAAAAACTGCGCCCAGACTGTGGCGCGGGCCCGTCCAGACGACACTTCTGCTATACTGGGGCCAGGAAGCGGACACGACAGAAAGAGCGGGTTCTGGCCCCCAAAATGCCCCAAAGCTCCGAACCTAGGCATATTCTGCAGGGTGGAGGAGCTGCACGCTGTTGTGTTGTGGTTGTTCAGCTGAGTACTTACCGGTTACGTGGGTCTATCGTCACGGCGCGAGGCGCGATCGGACTGGATGTCGTGGGGAATACGTAGCGCCACGTCAAAATACACCCACCGCGTCACCACAAAACTACAACACAGCCGCACCACTTTCCATCACGGCTTCCATACCACTCCGCCTCAACCGCCCGAATCAAAATGCTTCGATCGTATTGGTCAAAGTTAAACACGTGACAATGAGGTAATAATGATGTCATGATTTGCGACACCAATCTAGAGATTGATTGGCCATGATTGCCCACGTGACGATGACATCATTTGACGTCATCGGCAAACAATGCCATTGGGCAGGAATGTAGCGTCGGTACGGTGTAGCGCTAAAACAACCCCCCCATACAATTAACTGGTGTACTATTCCATACACAGAATATAAGAACTTAGGTACATTCATCAGATTTGTTTTTATTGGTAAAGATATGAGAAAAGTTATCGTGGTTTTATGTAGTATACTCATGCTGAAATACTATGTCCAAATTTGAGGAAGGGCGTTCCATCCCAATAGCTTGATTGGGATGCTACACCGGGTCGTCATCTTGCGTTGAAGAGCTCTGACCAGAACCAGACATGACGTCGCTCAATTCATATTATATTCAATCCTTCAGTAAAGGTTTTTGTTATGCCCTTAAAAAGTGCATCACCCCGCCAAGTCCCAATTTCTGTAAGAATATTTTTCAAAATGTACCTTACTGTTTGGCTTCGTCCTAGGTTATTGAGAGAACTATTTCCTATCCGCGGATAGTCAAAGGAACTGGTTTGTTTGTGATGGGGTTTTATTTTCCCTCCCTTCTGGGTCGTACTATTATTATTGCCAGAAAGGGATGTCTGTTACGCTGGGATCTTTATCAAAGGTAAGAAAGGAGACTAAACCACTCGAAATATCACCGCAGATATCACAAAAATTGATATATAGTACAATTATAACAACGTTTCTCCCTATAATCTACACTAGCTTAGGTTTTGGACACGCCGTGGTTCCGTGAGTATGAGTGACGTAATGTCGACGTCAACGCCGTGACGCACAAGTCCTCATGAGTACATTCCGCGCCAAAAGGGTCTGATAACAGCGTCAAGCACGGAGTTGCCGCTATAGAACGACAGGAAACCGTTACTTTACAATGAGTAAATCCGGTAATACCTGGGCTTAAATTGCTATAAAGTGGCTAACACTACATAGACAAATATTTTTCCTCAAATGGATAAGGCGACCAGAAAATTGACTTCTGAAACTTTGTTCCAGGGGTAAGTTCGGCAGTGTTAGGGAGGCCAAATTGCTATGTGTAACTTATAAGAATATGAACATTTGAAATTTATCACAGAAAACACCATCACCTCTACATGCTTGCAAGTCTTTTATTTACATCAAAGGGAGAGAAAAAAAGATAGAGACAGAAGTTTCTATGTAAGGGACATGAATAAACATGTACAGTTAGCTGTTTAAAAATTCTAGGTTTCTTTCTACCAGTGTTGTATAAATGTACAATGTTTGGTTATCGATTATAATGTACAAAACTATTATTAGCAGTTACCGACAAAGAAATCATAACCATCCCATGAGAAAGTAGTTCATCTGTACTAAAAGATAGCGTTTCCTGTGCCACCTGCCTATGGCTATGCTGCTTTTTTTTAGGTACAACCAAGGACATTATACACATAATGTCCTTGGTACAACACTAAAACTCTATGAATATGGAGTGTTGCAAAGAATTTCACTTTACTGTCATAACAATATGAATAGGAACATACATTGTACTAGTATTCAGGTAGCCTTCTTTTTGATAAATCAAGGACACTATATAGGGTTGTCCTTGGATAAATACAAGTTGACGTAATTGAATTTTTCACTTAGCGATTTTAATGTTTTTCTTACTAGTACTTCGCTCTCTACAAAAGAACAAAAAGATTTCTTAATATCATACAATTATTAGACTAGTGCATATCGAGCGGACATATTTGAGTCAAGTAGATTCAACAAATACTCAACAACATGTTCCCAGGGCCATAAAAAAACAAGCCTACTTAGAAAGCAACAAAAAGGATCAAACGGCATATATAGACTTATTGTAGTTGCGACTAGTGCAACATTTCAACATTTGTCAATTATAATACCTGTGACAAAAAAGTGTTAACCACTACTATATATATTGTGCCAGAATAGACCCATTCGACTTTCACGGATCGCGTTAACTGCTTACGTCACAGGGGGGACATTTCGAATAGAAATTACGTCACAGGGGGGACATTTCGAAAGTTCCTTTCACGGATCGCATAAACTGCATACGTCACAGAACAAAATAACCTTAAATTGTTGTACGGAATGCCACCATACAAAGTTGGTGCCTGTTTTCCTGTCATGTCCGCATATATTACCAAGAAAATAGACACTTACCTACCTTTTAGTAAAAAAAATGATCTAACAGGGGGACACCGAGAGCGCAAGCTCCGTTCGACTTCAGCGTTCTAGAATGACGTTCTTTCGAAATGTCCCCCCTGTGACGTAAGCAGATTATGCGATCTGTGAAAGTCGAATGGGTCTATTAGATCACTAAGTAGTAATGCATAATCACTCATTGAATGTATTGGAAACAAAAAAATATATGGTCCAAGGAACATGTCATTAAGTCGTTGTCATAATTTCATATCATTTATCGTCGTTTTGTGGAGATCGTCACTTGGCAACCATCAGTTTCGATCACTTCAGCATGGGGGAGGCAAAGAAGTTACGCTTGCTTGTAGATTTCGCACTTTTTGAACCAAACCTGGAAGAAAGAAGAAACAAATTAATAAGTTTACTATTTACAAATTCAGAACATGAACAAAAGGCGAAATTTATCTTACACACAAATGCGCACACACATCTAGCACCAATCTTTTGTCTCAGTTCTGAACATTTCCCTCACCTTGGTGTAAGTGGTGTTCGCTGTAGGAAGCCCTTGGCTCTGTCCAGCGAGCTCGTAGACCCTGACTTCTTCACGTGAGTGTCTGTAGAGTTAGGCGTCCGTACCGGTCCCAACATGCTGCCCTTGGGAGCTGTGCACAACAGAAAAAATATATTTTCAATTAACAGTCCAACACCTATCAGCTCCATACTATAACACTGCTTTTATATTAGCAATCAGGAACTGTTGCTTTATTGACTTGAAGGGGTATTTTTGATAAAACATTTCCTCCTCAAATCATGCAATCATGCATTTAGGCAACATTAGAAGGCATTTGCGAAAATAAAAGTTCACAGTGCACCAGCCCCAGAGAAAATCACTCAGAGCCTAAATTTCTCAAGTTGTAAAATTTCAGTTTTATCATCTTTCACCTGTATACAATTTTTTGGGTAGATTGTAGGTGGGTAATTCAGTGCAAATTGTGTGCGTGGATGCAGCAATAGTAGTAAGACTTAGAATGCAACTGAAAAATCATCCACCAGGAAATAATAAGAATGCAACTGATAATAGTTCATCCACCAACAGATAAGCGATGTGTGCCTTCGCTGATGACACCACTTTGAGCAGGATAAAAACAAAACAAATAGCGACAGAAGACAGTCAGGACACCGCTGCATTTAAAGGCATGGAATCAGGGTTAGATCATAAAGGCGTGGATTTTTTGTGTGTCAAGCTTTGACCATGCAGTTCACCTGCATTCTCTGCATTCTCTTTGGTCTTACGATCGTTTGCACCGTCTTCTGCGGGGAACAAGACGTCAAATATGAGCTTTTTTTTTACTTTTACCAGTACACTTGTATTTAACCAGCTGCTGATATGATATAACTGCTCTTCAGTGTAACATACTCTAACAGCCCCGTACTAACAATATAGTAGACTGAACGTTTTGATGGTTGAAATGACATGCAAATTCTTTTCATATATTTCTGTGTGAAAAATAACATGTACATCAATTCAACAGCCTGAAATTATCAACAGCCTGATTTAAAAAAAAAATCATTTGTACATCCCTTAGTTTCCTTTTCCATTATTTCACCCCAATGGAATGCAGCATTGTTTTTTTTTTGCTCTTCTTGTATCATGTGTAAGTGCGTGCGTATTTGAAGTGTGTGTATATAAAATGCAGCATTGAAATACACCTTCAGTGCTGATATTTTTGTCGGTGGGAGTGGAAGGGTTGCAAAGCAGTGGGTGAAAGACTGCTATCTCTGTTCATATGCAGATTAAAAAAAACAAAAAACAAAAACAAGTGGTTACCTTGTCTGCCCTCGGGAGTGCGCATGGAGTAGGGGTTTGTGATGACGTTCCCGACGGCGGGGGACGCCAGGTTCTCGTTGTCCTCCTCCGCAAACCTCCGCCAGAAGTCTGAGGGCATCAGCAACAGCCCCTCCATTACCTGTGGGTTAAAGATCGGTTAGTATAAAAAGTCATGCACTGCAGTGCAGTAAGAGTGATGGAGAAGGTAATGTTTACAAAGGAAATGCATTATGTTCACCTTTACATGTTCTAGCTCAACAAATACTGTTCTGTTTATTCCTACTGATACACGTTCATACATGGTGACCAACCCCTGTAACTTGCTACATAATGTAATCCAACACCACAGAGTGTCTGCTACAGGCCCAGTTGCTATGCTGACAGCCGCCTGGTCCAGGTCATTGACCTCATGTGTTAGAAGAAGAAGAAATTGAGCAAACATGATTACCTAAGCAGCAGAAATCCCTTTTTGGTTGCTGTTAACATTAACTGTTTTTAGCAAACATTCAAATTTAAATGAGACCACAGCACGTTCTCTTACCCGGGGCTGCTTGCGTGTGTCGGCCAGCATGGTCATGTGATCAGGGTCGGGGCAGCCATGGCCGACGAGGGTGGGGCCGAACACCTTGGCCAGGTTAGACATCCCCATCTTGGTCCGCTTGCTCTCTGACACTCTGTGGGTAACATCACGAAAATAACAAGGTTTAGTACCACTGAACACTACTGATAGTATATATGATATCAGGTACTGTACAATAGATCCATTTCATGTGAAAAATTTGCTAGGGTTCCAAAATTTGTAGTGTCTTCCTATATTGTTAGCACACTGTGACCTGCTATACCCATCTTTGTTTTTATCCGTATAGCTGTTAACATTGCACCAAAAAAAAGCAGGAAAAGTGTCTTCTGACAGTTTCTGTCTCTATGCCACCCCTATGATGATCACTGACTCATCCCTGATAAGGGGACTGTCCACCGACCTCTGCAGATGGAGGATGATGAAGGCGAGGGTGTCGCGGTTCGGCTGCGGCATCTCGCTCACGGCCTGGTACAGCGACGTCGCAAAGTCCTGCTCGTCACTGATTTCTGAAACAAAAACAAAATCATCACATAAAAACTTTTCAGAGGCAAAACATCTGTTACTCATAGCTTCTACTTGACTGCTCTCATTTTTAGGAGTATATGTTACAAGAAATTCTTCAAAGAAGCAACCAGTGCATGCACTGTAATGTCTAGAATTGAGCCCTACTGTTAGCCTGGGTTCCATCCTGGTTAGTTTACGTCCGCTCCCACAGTCGCTACTGGTTGGTGGTAGCGACTGTGGGAGCGGATGTAAACTAACCAGGATGGAAGCCAGGCTACCCTACTGTATATATAGAAACACAATTACATGTATTTGTATTGTGCAGTCGCAAAGTGCTTTTTGTAGATTATTTTCCCTGATACATAGAATGTGTAAATATTGTTCTTTGTATCACCACGATTGATTAGAGTTTTTCAGCCAAGTAAAACTGGCTTGAAATTGCATGTGGATTTCTATTCCCAAAGTTCCCATTTTTATTACACACCAGGAGCCCCCAAAGGTACAAGACCCATTCTAATGCATTCCTGCTATACTTGTACCCTGATTTCTGTGGTTGACAAGAAAACACAATTTAGAAGTCCAAAGATCAGGACTTCCCAGTGGGCACAAAACCCACTTTCATGTTTATAAAAATAGAAAGTTCATTCCAAGTTGTTGCCCATGGGATTACTGCAGGTAACAAGAAAATAACCAGGAATGTAGATAGCGCAAAAAGTGCAGGAAAAACAGAAATGTATCCATTTATCAGTTCCAGGGCTCGAAATACTTTTAACTCTATACTGCACTGGTGCAGATAACATAAAATTAACTGCACCAAGGTACAGGTGCATTGAATTTTGTATTATACATACATGATTGTGAAGATGTATCGTTAAATTTTTCGGAACAACTGGACATTAATAATTGCCCTATTCTTGCAAGCTACATTCAATCATTACTGTACAGTATCATAATCATTACATTATTCCAAAATGTGCATTTGAGGACAACTTGTTTTGGTAATATTTTTTCCTGTATTCTACTTTGTTCCCATGTGTACACGTATTATCTCCAGAGAATTGGCAGAACCTGAGAAGCAGGAAATAATTATGAATATGAGGGCCATTATTTTTTTCTCATACTACTGTATAACTAATAATGTCACTATAGTCTAGAATTCAACATGCAAGCCCATTAGGAATTAGATTCAGAAAACCTCACAATTAGACAACAAATTTACTGAAAATGGATTTGTGCCATCATTTCTTGCTTTCCACATCATAACCTTTGCAGAGAATTAATTTTGTTTATGTAATACATTTAATAGCATGTGTAAGGATACATGTCTATGGATTATTTTTTTAATGAGGACAAAATTTTTTTGGATTTGTTAGGACTTCAATCATGTAACCTATATCTTGTTATATTTCGTCTTGATCTAGCCTCCTCTCTCATTTCCTATGACAATGAAACGCAGCCTACAGGCTGACTTGATTTTTAGCATTTCATCAGTAAACAAAACAGCACATTCAACGTATCTGTATAGCCGGTATAACCGCCTTTCGGCGTAACACACCAGCATCGCAGGCACGCGGCGTGGCGGCAGCTGGCTATATTACATTGATCAACTTGTTACACCTAACCCTTGAACTTTTTAAAGCTACCTAATGACAATGCCCCTACTGTACTTGGTGACAGTGAGTTCCACTCTGCGATAGTTCTAGGAACACCTCAATCCTTGGTTGATAACTCTGGTACTTAAAGACGTCCAGCGTGCAACGAGAAATGAACAGCGCCCAGTTCTTGAGACTTACCCGTGGCTCTCATGAAGTTGGGGTGAAGGTTAAAGGTCACCAGCGGCTCCCTCAGACCCCGCAGGAAGGACTTGAGACAGCCACAGACAACGTGGATGTCTTCCTTAGCCTGACAGGAGGACAAGATATTGTGATCGAGAAGCTTGGTCAGCAAACACTTTTCACCCATATCCATAGCCATTCTACTTTTCTATATCACAACAACCTGTGAATTTTACCAAATCTATCATTATAGTAGTATAGTATCACTGTTTTGTATTTTTTTTAATGCACATTGTCTATTTATTTGTGGGCATGGTGGCCTTGAAAAGGTGCACTTAGGTGCACCTGTTACACCATGCCCTCCATGTATATTATGTAATACTATGTGGTTAATTGTAATAAATAAATAAATAAAAATAAATTATAAACAGGTAGGTTGGGCTTTGTGAAAATAGATAGAAAAAGAGAAAGTATCTTTGTTGTTGACTGACAGACTGATCAAAGTACTCACCATATTTGGAGTCTTGCCTTGGAAGAATTTCTCCCTCAGGTCCTTTATTGCTGGTTCGGACCTAAAATGGACAAAAGTGATGACAAAAAACACAGCTTATACCCCGGTACTCCTGTATCAATGGCAGTTTATCAATGACAATTTGTTGTGAGATTTATCGGTAAGAGAATTATTAAGATGGGAGGAAAAAGGACTTTAAATATCTCTTTGGGCCATTTAAAGACTTTAAATGTTTCTTTGGGCCATTTTAAGACTTTAAATGTCTCTTTGAGTCATTTAAAGTCCTGGAGCTGATACATAAAAGTTGGGATGTTGAGAGAAAAGTAAAGAAAACCTCCTCACCCAGGAACTCGGTACAGCCCCTCCTCCAGCATTCCCCTGGACTCGATCTCATTAATGCAATGGACCTGGAGGGTGAGATATCAGAAGAAAATCAGTTTTCAGGTCTTGTCACTATGCTATTTCAGATATAAATACCAATACATAATTAGAAAAAATCTCATTGACAATATTCTAATTAAACAAAACCTGTCATTATTACATAGGAAAACTGTTGATTATCATACTATCAGATGCTAGAAGATAAATGATAAAGAGAAACATCAAAGTCTTTGAGCACACTGACTCACCACCAGAGCTGGTATCATAGGTCCATATGGTGGCAAGAAGTTCTCCAATTCAAGCTGGAACAACAGACAAGAAAAAAAATTTCAAGCAAACTTCAGCATGAAGTTAATTTTCTTTCGTTATGATACTGAACACTGACACTAAAATTAAAAACTCAGATGATAAGAGCATCTTTCCTCCCATTGTCTCTTTAAATAGAATGGAAGTCATAACACTTAGGACAGATCAAGTACAAGCAAAACACAAACAAACGCTGTAGGAACAACAACAGCGAATAATCTACTATGCTGATTCTGCATCAAAGAAAAAAATTGCCTATGAAATGAACACAGTCAGTCAAATGAACATAGAAACAACACAGCAATGAACAAATACTGAGTGAAATAGAAAACTAAGCAGTGATGAACAATGGAACATGGCCACACCACACACTCTGGTGATGACAAAGTTATTAGTAACCAACCTGTAGACTAGATGCATGGTTGTACATGTACTTGTTCTGTGCATGGGGGTGACAAAGTGGGGGATTATCATAGAACAGCATTTCTAAAAGCAGTTACTATGCAACAAGTAGCAATAGGAAGCTATACAAGTGACACTGAAGTGGTACAGAGGGTAAGTATGAAGAGCTACTGCAAAGTACTATTTTTCTTAGTGATTTGTAAACAAGGAAAGGTGTAATTGGTGGTAAAGATTTCATACAGATAGAGACTTGGTGAAGGTAATCAATAGAAAAAACACCCACACAAATCCGTTCAGATATGGAAAGACGGACACACACACACACACACACACCACAAGGTCAAGATGTCTTACCGTCTGCTTCTTGCCCGAGGTTGGAGTGTTGCTGGGAACACAGGGCATGGTGACTTTGAACTTACAATCAGGATGGCACACCACACGGCAGTCTGAAAGGGAAGAACTGACATTGATCAACAAATTTACACTCACAGACAAAAATTACGCCATGGGCAATCTGCTAGCAGATCATTGCATATTTGGTTACAATATGTTGTAAATTGTAATAACTTCCATAGCCAAGGAAATAGATAGTACACAGTACTATAATAGTTGAGCATCATTCTTTGTCTTACCTTTGCATTTCAGTGCCATTTTTCCAAACTTGATCTTCTTATTACACTGTAGGGAAAGAGTAAAACATTGTTAGGGTTGGTTTCAGCTTCGTTGTTACACTTATGACAAGATCCCTTCATTATATGTATATTACAACTGTGAACTGCATGTACATCTATCTTTGTCTCTACACAAACCATTTGTAATCAACTTAGAACAATTCCTGTTACTTACTGGCAGGCAGGTTTCAGGCTTGATGACTGTTTTGGAACAGAACATGTGCGGACGACCTCCACCCGTGCTGGAAAGGGGCAAACAGCGAAGCTGGGTGAGACTTTAGCCATTAACACAAAGTGATCAGATGCACTACAAACTGAGGAATGGGAGATGTGAGCTTGAGAACTCGCACCACAAATTTGTGGGATGTCAGGTATTATACTATTATAGTATGCATTCTACATCCTATGTACATCTTGAATACATTTTGTACCTTGTTTTTGATGGGATCAAAAGGAAAGAAAATGAATGGTACAGGTACATATTGAGATCATCTCAATCTGTGCTGGAAAGTTTTTTAAAAAATACCCCAATTTCACAAAGGATCATTTTTTCATCTTTATGCCATGTCCCACAAGTATGAGTGGTACCGAGTTCACATGGTCACACAAATGAAAGTTAGCAGCTTACGTTGGTTTGAGAACACCCTGAACCCTGGGTAAAATGAACAAACAAACAAACATGTTTCAAACGAATGAAATGGAACCAACAACAAACAAACAATTGTATGAATTAAAAAGTGTGAAAATCCACCACACAAAAACTGATGCGTCCCTTATTGTCCCTTATAGGACAAACAAAAGCAGTAAGCCCAGAGGTTAGGTAAGAGTAAGATGGTCTCCAGGTTGGGTTTACAGTATTTTTTCTGCCAATTTTTGTTTTGTATATTTTACACTTTCATTAATAGATGTAAAATCTTTAACAATTTCAACTCGTAAATTACAGCAAAATGAACAAAACTTCTGTAGACCCAATCCTGAAGAAGCCGGTACCTTTTATTTGTTCCCTGCATTGACCATGCAGGTCTGAAAAGAGTGATGATAGGGGGTTAGGTTAACACCAAACAGGTTAGACTGGTAAGGAGTAAAGAGGAATTTCAAAGACCATCTTAAGAACCAGGACAAACAAAAGCAGTAAGCCCAGAGGTTAGGTAAGAGTAAGATGGTTGCCTTGTCCACAGCTGTATTGAAGAAATAAACACCATTGGAAAAACGTGTAAAGTGAGTGAAGGGTCAAACCATACGGAGTCGAACCAAAAACAAGACGAAACAAACCTGTGCTTGGTAATAAAAGTTTACACTTACTGTACAGTAGTGCAGACTTTTATTACTAAGCATGCTTTCCACACCTTCAGTCATACTTTGTCTAGCCTGGACGCCAGACTATTCCAAGGGCAAATATTCAGGCTAGTCCCCAGTTAGATCCTGAGAAGCAGTCTGACCCAATGACAACAGCTGGAACCCAGGCTATACTCTGACTGACTGACAACTGAAGGTATGTAATAGGCAACCACATTCACCAACTGAAACAAACTGATAGATAGAGACTGGACACAGCCTTCTGTATACCTGCTGGGTGTGAGTTGTGGTGTGCTGATGCCGCCCTTCAGTGTGCTGGCCGGAGTACCCCAGAACGAGTCTGTGGAATCACTGTCGGGAGTATCTGTAGAGTGCCAAGCAGACCACAATGTCTTCATTATTTAGTGAATGATTTTTTCAGGTTGGTGAATGATAGAATAGGCACGTTCACAACCACTTGTTTAACAAGAGCCAACTATTTGATGACCATCTGTCATCTTCATCTGGGCAATTATGACAATTATGGTTCACTGTGCACTGAAGCTAGATGTTACTGGTGCACTGTGCACTGAAGCTAGTGACAGGTGTCACTGGTTCACTGTGCACTGAAGCAAGGTGTTACTGGTTCACTGAACACTCAAGTTAGCTACCTGTGTTACTGCTAACATAATACATGTAATAATATTTATCTATTTATGTTTTATTTATACAGGGTGTATACAACTCAGAGCTAAATACACTGCTTTTCAGGCATGTCCATATCTGTACAAGAAAGACAAAAACATGGTCAGGGAAACCAGCGTTACCTGGTCGCTTGTCCAGAGTTATTGGCAGTGGCTGGCTGAAGCTGCGGTTCAGACGAGCCTTGGGGTGCGTCTCAATCTTGGCGGTGGCTGTTCCTCGACCTTCACCATCCAAGGTCACAGTGGTGGTGGTGATAATGGAGGTCTCACCAACCTAAAGTAAAAATTAAATGGACACAAGACCGTGAGTTGTGCATTCTACTTTCGTTTCATGGAAAAATTTTTTAGATTTTGTTCCAGTGCTTTGAGATTTACTGAGGATTGACAAGGCACAAGGAAACATTTTATCTGTATTTTGAAGCTGGTTCTTACCCCAACATTGTCTATATCTGTCCTGATGGTCTTGGCAGCAGGACTGTCGTCTTCTTTGGGTGGTGCACTGGGACGCTGGGGAGGTCAGGGTAGAAATGTGTGTGAAACCATTGACTTACCACAGATCAAAGTTTCTTCAATATTTATGGGTTCACCACACCAGGAAGTGGTGTGGTGAAACCATATTGCTTTTTCTGATGTTTCTTCTTCTTCTTCTCCTCCTCCTCCTTCTCCTCCTGCCATTTTTTAAATGGATTCAGCTTCTTCATTTTAGGGCCCAAGGTCCTGAAATTTGGTATGGAGGTACAGTGGGCAAATACCCCTAGGCGTTTTTTAAATTATTGTGATACAGGCTTTTAGAATGGTTTTATTTGAGTTTTTTGGCTGTGTTATAGCAAATGTATTACTGTGTTAGGGTGCATTGTTTACCACGTTTGGACATGAGTCATCACAATGGAATGCAGGGCATCAACCAATAGGCATGCAGCTTTCCTCTATACTTCTTGCTGATTGGCTGTTGGGATTTAACTTGATTAACACCTGCACAGAAGCATTTCCATACTGACAGTATGTCTGTATTCAAGTGTTTTGGTAGGTATTTCAAGCTTTCCTGCTCCAGCAGTGGAATGCCGGGCATGGACGTTTTTTTTATTTTGAAAATCAACAGTTTGCATTATGCAATTAAAAATCCTAACCAATAAAGTAGGGAATAGCTATCCAACTGTTGTTTTAGTTGTATTTTACTTCATATTATAGTTATATCAATGTAAATCATTGTTTTCCCTTGTGTTTCCCATTCTTTCCCTGCCATGTCGTAAAATGTGGTGAACCCATCGCTGTATTTGCTCCAAAGCAAATATTGGCCTTTCTAGTTTCATTTCACTTTTCTATGATATTATAAACGCAATGATTGTTAGACATCCAGGTAATGAGATACTGTATCAAGCAACTGGATAGATATTGTAAACTGCTGATATTTCAAGTAACATCCATAACTTTTGGTCGGCCGCTGTTGTCACTCGTATGATTTCAGTAACTGTTTTCCTGTGAATACTATAAACTGTGAACTCTGTTCAGTATTTGTACAAGAGGACAGGTACATGTATATGGAAAGTACACCAACCTTTTTGCCTCCATGCGAATGTCTCTTCCATTCTGATCCATTCCTCAAGACAGAAATATCCTATAAAATTGTCACACATAAGATGAGATTTAGTTTTGAAACCAAACAGTTGTCTGAAACAATATACTAGTAAGCATGAAAAGAATGTGAGTTTGCGTCCAATTCTTACATATAGACGGGAATTCGCAAGTTGTTAATACCGGTACATTTAAAAAATATACAAGGCATTTTGGTCCACACATGTAGGTCATCTGAGCAAGGTTAGTCAGTACTTACCGCATCCAAGTCATCATCTGTACGATCGTAACTGATGTCAGATGCAGAGAGAATCGAACCATTGGATTCATCTATTGCCGAAAGCCTTTTAGCCGGAGACTTGAGGTTTGTGGCGCTGGCCAGGGCAGCCAGACTCTCCCTGCCCTTCTCATCCAGCATGCTGCGCTGTTTATCATCCAACAGTTCCCGCACCAGGGCTACCTGTCGTTCCTACAAGGACAAAGAACTTCTAGTAAACAACACACGGCTTTGACATAACTTTCAAGTTCAGGTTTATGTCTTGAAAGTTCATCTATGTTATTAGAAGCCATCTAGATCTACATCAGGGATTTGCAACTACAGATCTACACTTTCTGCAACCTATGATCCACTGTTCTCAGAGTCACTTGTATCATCTGCATAACATGGGGTCACATTAGTGGTGGATTACAGAGGTAGTAACCAGTAGTGAAAATAAGAAGTAAAAAAAAAGAAGAGTGACCTACCAAAGTGTCCTTCTCGCCCTCAGCCTTCATGCGACGTTTCATCTCTATATCAACCTGATTCCTGGTCAATGATTCAAAAGCAGATATTCAGTTTAAGGAACTGGAAAAACCAGTATAACACGACAAATACTCCTATATAGTCCTAAGTGTCACTGTTATGTAAATGAGGTTAAGATAGTACATGTAGTTCCTAAGACTATATGGTAAGACGTAAGACAATACCATACGAACTGCTACTGCCCCATGCAATTGGACGTTGTATAATTGCCATTGTACACAAGCAAAATAACTTACAGGTCCACTAGTCTACAGATAGTGACATACTGTAGCTTCTGATTTATGGCTCAAGATTATGAGCAATGAGCCACTATGAAGATGATATGCCCCAAAAATAAGATAAAAAGAAAATCTGGGGGAAAATCGTTGGTGAAGGTTAGACATCCAAGCAATAAGATCCATGTATGCCAAAAGACAGTTACTCAAGCAACTGGATATGATTTTGGAAATGGTCAGTTCTGTTTTTGGCATATCTGGGGGAAAAGACACAGTCAACACTCCAGTCCAATGTTAAACTGCTGACCTGGCGTGTTTGAGTTTAGTCTCCAGAGCGTCCTTCTCGGCCTGGAGTTTGACCAGCCTCTCTCTCATCCCGCCTGACTCCATCTCCGCGGCCAGCCATCGCTGACGACACTGCTCCTGGTTCCGCACAAACTGCAGGAACTCTGCGAAATTTTTGGAAAATCGATTTCTATATTGGTTTTCTTTCTTTATGCACTTTAGTATGAACATTTTTGCAGTAAGTTATACAAGTATATGCTCTGATGACTGAGTCAAGTCAGGCACTGATCTATCTCTGCAATGCAATCTGCATTGAGTTTATCTCTATTCATATTATGGAAGTGGTACTTTAAAATCTAACCTTACCACTGCTGCCTAACTATGTACTAATAATGACAGATAACTTCAAGTTCAGTGTGCTAAAGTCAACGTAAAAACAATATGGCAAGACACAAAGATACTTGTATAGCTCCAATTTTTTCACAGAATAACTTCAATAAGGCTACCCAAACAATATGACAGGTGTTGGTAGAGGTGCTATTTGTGATTCTTCTCCCATTGTCTGCTGTAAACAAAAGAGGTTCTGAGTGGCCTATGTCGATTGTCTTACCTGATTCACAGCCTTGTGTCAACACGGTGGTGCATCGCACCAGGTCATCAAATGCGGCAACAAGTGACATCTTGGACAACCTGTGACAAGGCAGGGACAAAACACAGTCTTGAGTTGACTTTTACGTCATATAAGGCCTCCGCCGGTCAGTGTAGACTCTACAACATTAGACACAAGATACATCTGTAAGCTGATTTATGCATGTGTGTAAGAGTCTGAGGATAAGATAAGAAAAAAATTATGAGTCTGAGTGGCGAAAATAGAGGAAACATGATGTCATACGGCTTTGTGGCAAGATAAACATCATGTGATTTCCCTTTTTTGGCAGGCACGGCTATAATTTTTTACTATTTGGTGGTCGCATTCAAAAATATGAGGAATTTCACACAAGTTTCTACCTTTTCAGTCAGTCTATATGGAAATATGAATATTATGATGTGATATGAAAACATGTTTCTATACTATGTCTTACGATATCATGAGCTAAATTATTTTTGGATCATGGAGTAGCTACTAGTACGTGATAATTTGAGAAGTTGCCGTGAGAAAATGAGGTTGCAACTGACATCCTGGTTTAGACAAAACGCCCCCCTCCCACTCCTAAAAAATGCGCAACAAACATCAACATTTTGGAAGAATAAGTCACATATTTCACATCTGAAATATACATTCATGTGAACAGAAGTAGTATTAACTATTTCGCTGCATAATATACAACTAAAGATCAACAAAAAGGCAGAAATACTGACTTTTTCAGGAAAACCAACTTGACTTGGCGCTTGGTCCGCGCTCCGCCGGTTAGCGCCGTGAATTCAAAAATGGCAGCCAATCAACGGGCAGCATTCCACCGGAAGAATTTCCGAAGGTTCCCGAAGAGCCGAGCACTCCCGAAGATGACGTACCAGGGTCAAAGTTGAGGAACGACCACCGGCCGCCATCTTGCTCCGTCCGGGTGACATTGGTGCGGAGGACAAGGCATAAAAGTAAGGATATTTTGGCTTATAAATGTATAACTGGTAATTTCAACCACACAAGTGTTACACAAGAAGTTAACTGTTAAGTTAGAATGCTGTTGAGTGCGTATTGAGTATAAAAAATCGTACTTTTTTCATGAAAAGTTGGCCAGACCAGTAGCGTCATGGGTGACCGTAACATAAAATTTTTAGCGATTGCCCTAGATAAGGACTGAGACAGTACAGGAGAGTAGAGTGAGCATAGAAAATATTTATGACCAGATAACCACAGGGTGAGAGAGAAAAGAATACTGATCTCAACTGTCTGCTGGTCTTGCGAAAAACTCCGCTAAACATATTATTTTAGACTATAAAACTCAAACTACTAAGTATGTGCAGCAGTAAATTCAGCCACGGCCCACGAGCATATGATGTACATGTTTTTGCTTGGTTGGTTCCTATGTGCACATTTCGTACCTTCCCACCAGCAGGCAACATGTTGGCGAACACACTGCGACAGTCTCTGTGCAGATGTCGACCTGCCGTCTACTCCCAGGTCCTCAGACCTCTCAGCTCAGGTAAAGGAACACTGGTAGATCAACATAAACCTGAAGATTTTACATCAGTATTTACTACTATTTAGTGTAGAATGTATTTGCAGCCAGATTTAGATCATGTTCTATAACAAATGCATCAAGGGAGAAGGTACTAAATCTTAGCATAGTGTCACACCACACATGTATGAAGTGTTTTTGGGTAGGTTGCACCATACAGTGAAACTCACATATATCTACAGTGAAACTCACATATATTTATGGCATACATTAAACTGTAAATGTGTAACATTAATAGACATTTGATTGGAATGATACATGCCATATGATAACCTTTCCATTCTTCATCCCCACACAGGAATCTAGATTCTAATCATGCTTTCTTGCCTTGCTGTGAAGAAGTAGCCATGAAGTGAATACAAGATGCTTGCTAGTCTTGCTTATCATAAGCTTGAGCCTGTGTTGCCATTCTTGTTACCATGCTTTTTTCCCTTTGCTTGGTCGTTTTGCAAAGCAGACCCAGAAACACGCTGATCAGACGCAAAGCAGTTCCAGGAATACACTGATCAAACGTCTCTTTGTGTAGTCAAAATAATCAGAAGCTACCATTGCCAGCCTTGCGAGATGTTCTGTCATTTGTCTGATACAAAGGACAGTTGCATGACAAACAAGCTTTGCATATCTGTGTCTGGTCCCAACACTATTACTATAGGTCAACTGTGGTTGTTCTAGTAAGAGAAGTAAAAACATAATTGCAAGATTGCCACAAGTATTCTATGAATGCCCAGTCTGAACCTGGAATAACAAACAAGTGGCCCTTTTTTGAAGTATAGTAAGATTAAGCTTGGACTCCAGCACAAGCATAAACATATGCCAAGTCCTTTAAGTCAACATCTAGTCACATCCACGGTATGGTTGACTGACATGCAATCTGTTGATCAGCCGCAAATGGGGGAGGGAGAGGCACAGTGGATCTTGGAAAGGATGGAAACATATCCCAGCCGTTGTCACATGCACCCAAGGATTCCATGAGTCCACCCGGATGGAAAACTGCTGCAGTCCAGTCACTCTTCACCGATGGAGTCATGAGTGACAAAGCTGCTATGGAGGCTACTTTGAAGGAGGGCAAACCAGCAGAAGTGGTCACTGGGGGTGCAGCAGAGGCAACAGTTCCAGTCACAGATGTGATGAGTTCAGAGGCAGTTGCTGAGAAAGGTGTTCCTCCAGAAGTTGTGGCTGGAGCTACGGGAGCAGCTACACCAGAGGCCATGGTTGAAGCCATTGCTGTGGAGGGGGTAACTGCTACAGGGGCAGTTTCAGAAGTTGTAGCAGAAGAAGTGGTGGCTTCAGTTGAAGCAGTCTCTACAGAAGGTGTGGCTGAACCAGCAGCAGTTGAGGAGGTGGTGGTTTCTGAGGCTGCAGCAGAGCCAGAAGCTACAGAGGAGGCAGTTATTGCAGAAACAACAGGTGTTTCTGAAGAAGCTGCAACAGAAGAGGTAGTGGTGGCTGTGGAGGAGACAGTTCTTGAAGAAGTGGTGGCAAAAGATGAGGCAGTCAGTTCTGAAGCTGTGTCAGAAGAAGTGGTTGTGGAAGGGATGGCTGTTGCAGAGGAGGTGATAGCTTCAGAAGAGAAAGTTGCTGCAGAAGCTGTGCCCCAGGAAAGCACTGAAGAGGTAGCTGCAGAGGAAGCCATTGTTTCTGAGTCTGCCACAGAGGTGACAAAGGCTGCAACTGAAGGTGTCATTGCAGAAGAAACAGTTGCTGCTGAAGAAGCAGCAACAGAAGAGGTAGTGGCAGGTGTGGAGGAGAAAGTCATTGAAGAAGTGGTGGCCAAAGAGGGGGCAGTCCCTACAGAAGCTGTGGCAGAAGGAGTGGTGGAAGAGATAGTTGCTACAGAACAGGTGACAGCGGTTGAGGAGGTAGCTGCTGCAGATGCTGTGCCCCAAGAAAGCGCTGTAGATGTGGCAGCTGCTGAGGAAGCCGTGGCTTCAGAAGAGACAGTTGCTGAAGACGTGAAGCTGGAAGAAGACACTGCTGCTGCAGAGGCTGTTGTGGAAGAGGTGGTGACTTCAGAAGTAGCTAAAGAAGAAGTGCTTGGTAGAGAGGAAACAGTTGGGGCAGAGGCAGTTGCTGAGGTAGTAACCAAGGAAGTTCCATCTGACACTCTTGCTGACGAGGTACCAGTTGTTGAAGTGGCACCTGAAGATGTAGCTCAGGCCAATGCTACAGCAGAAGAGATGGCTGAGGTCATAACAGAAGAAGCTGATACTCCCATGGAAGCCAAGAAAACATCTGATGAGGAGATTCCAGTGGTAGAAGTGGCACCTGAAGCTACAGCGGAGGCTTTAGATACTGCAGCTGAAGAGGTGGTAGCTGAGACTCCAGTGGAAGCTGAGAAAGCTTCTGAGGATATACCTGCAGTGGAAGTAACACCAGAAGTAGCAGCTGAGGCTTTAGATACCACAGCTGAAGAAGCGACTGTTGAAGAAGCTGAAGACACAGGGGAAGAGACTCCAGCTGTCCAAGTAGCCCAGATGGTGGGGACACCTCCCGTGCCGCCAGCTGCAGACGACATCACAGCTCCACCTGCAGCAGGTGCTGAAGATGACGCTGCAGGTGAGGGGCAGGGTATCTCACGTACAAAGTACAATCAACACATTTTGACAAGGACAGCTCTGTCATGGACACTCTGTCATTGCCCCCTGTAACATCCCCGATAGCAGCCCCTTGTCCTCGTGTGCCCTACCCTGCCCTTCTTCCCATTTTGACAGTCACAGAGCATCCAAAGACAGGTGATGGCACCTAATTTGTCTTACCATGCATGCCAAGTATAAGATCTACCTTGTTACATTGTAGGTCCTTATACATGTAGAAGTCTTTCCCAACCCCTCTCATTCTGTGCAGTCCTTAAACGGATACCTGAACAAGCGTCTCATACCCTTGACTACACTATGGACAGCGCAACTGTCTCACAGCTGCAAAACGCACAATTTACTTAGTACCAGTGTGGAACATATGTTTTCAGTTACAATTCTTACATGTGTAAGAAACAAGGAGACCTTTGGATGTGTATGGACATAATCTTTACTGTGTTGTAGGTACAAGGAAGACACATATGTCAAAACTTTGACATTGATGACATATAATTCGAACTTATGATATGTACATGTATCTTACATTAAGCTACAAGACAATGTAGGTTCAGACTTTGAGCATAATGAATGTTAGAGCAATTATTGCAACCACTATAAAGTGAAGTAGTTTGTAGACCCTAACAAGAGGACATTATAACTCACTCTCTGACAAAGTAGCATGACAAATGTAATAATACTATCATGGATAGACATTGAGTGCTTACCTCTTGTATCTTACTGTCTGGTTAAACAAAGGGAATGCTGTAATACAATAACACTATATGGAAGCCAGCTCAAACTATTACCAAAGCATGTTTGTGGAATAAAAGAAGAGTCTCTGTGTAACTGCATCTCATTTTCCTTTCCTTGTGTCTTCTCACTATCTTCATCTCAAATTGTCTTTCCATTGTCTTATACCATCTCATCAAGTTGCCTTACTTCCCCCACAGCCTTTATTGAGTCCCACCTCTCCAACTATGTGCAGTTTCATAACATTACAGTTACTGTTGTCTTCATCAGTCATCAGCCCCATGTGTTTTCACAAACAGGCAAAGCACAACAAGCAGACATGTCACATTAAACAGTGTAAACCCACATGGTTTCATGTAATTGCCAGAACACTGATTAGGAAAAAGTGCCAATAACAAACAAATGATGTGTAATCTGCTACTGTCAGTTTTGCTGTGCCACAAAATATGAAAAAGAGTACTTCTAGTATCAGCTGTCAAGCTTGCTTCTTTGCTTTGCTTGCACAAATACAAACTTGACTAACTGTTGTAGATTGCATTGCTTGTGTGGTACATAACATTAGCAGCTTGCATTAAGTTGCTTGCTATCGCTCTGCACTTTTGCTAAGCCAAGTACAACAAGCTTCATTGTATGTGGCGTGCATAACATACATGTACTTTATTAGTGCTATTGATAGTGATCTGCACTACGCAGCCTCCTCGGTTTGCAATGATGCTCTAGCTCTGCTAGTCTGCAGCTTCTTGTGTACATTTCTTTGCTTAGATAGTAAATTATAGACTGCTGGTGTCTCAATGACTTTTCTTGTGGTTAGTGAAAGTGTTTGCTATAGTCAATCACTCAAAACAATGTTGCACGAATTTACCTTACACTATATGTGTTCCTTTCAGTACCTTGTTTTTCAGATACTGCACCACTTTATCATCTCTTAATGGTAATAACCGTCAAACACACCTGTACATTAATCAATATTAGTAAGGCACAAGTTCCTGACATTCACCCAAGTAGTACACACAGCTTACAACACATCATGAATGTACTAGTAGCTATAGCTGTTTGATTTAGACATTAAATTGATTGTATAACCTAATTGATTTCAAACAAACATCAGTGAATGGCTGATGTTGTACAGTTACTGAGGTGATGTTGTAAGTTACTGAGGTGATGTTGTAAGTTACTGAGGTGCTGTTCTGTGTGCCCCCCTCCCCCAGGTGCTGCTCTCCAGGCTGCAGAGGCTACTGACCCCATCCAGAAGCTGTTCCTGGATAACATCAGGACTTACTCCAAGAAGAGCCAGTAAGCAAAAGGGGTCTATACTGTAAATGCAGAAACTTTCCGGTGGTTTCATTTTTGTAGTAACTTTCTACTGAAATCTCTTGGAATATGTATTTTATAGCTCTACTGTACTACAGAATTGTTTGAACAGCAAACAGCAAACTTCTCAAAAACCAGCCACAAAATTAAACCACCACAAAGACAACAGTATTCTACAGTATTCAAAACTTGTAATGTTTTGCCAAGGTAGCATAGTATCTCCCATAGTCTTACATGTACAGTTGTCAGCATAGGAATTACAATTTACAGTCTGTTTCATATGGTTTGGACAAGAGCTGTAGTAGTAAAAATTGGTTTAATTAATTAAAACACCAGATTTGTAGTATTGAATGGCTTTTGAGAATACAATACTACAAATCTAACTCCACTACATGTATTTAATGACGATAGGATACCTGATAACAAAAAGTTTCTTTGGACGTCACATTTCTGCACTTCCCCTCTAGGGCAGCAGGGGGCGCCCCTGTGGATGCTGGGAAGGAGTTTGATGCCAAGATGAAGGCAGAGATCGACAAACTGACCAAGCAGTACAGTACCACCACAAAGGGAGACCTCACCAAGTTCCCAACGTTCACGTTTGAGGGTAAGCAGAGAGTAGAGTTCTCATGTTTCTTTTAATATATGGTGGATCACTAGGCAGCAAATTTAGCTTATGTTTTGCTCCACACAGTATCAAAGAAGTACAATGAATACAGTACAATATGTTAAATCTATAGTAACATAATCTTATTGTGAACGTAAGAGCAAAATAACACAAGAAAGGAATTGAACAAGGGATGGATGGAACAAACGGAAGGAATGGATGGATGGTTTGGAAGGAATGCATTAATGCTTGAAGAAATTATGTATTAAGTGGTGGTATTGACTTAGATACTACACACAGTTACATCACACAAAAGCACTAAAATAAGGAATGAATGTAGGCTATTCTGTAACTGTACAGGATTGCTGTTCGGAAAATGATGCAATGTCATCATGTTATATTTTTCTTTGTTTCAGATCCAAAACTACAGGTGTAAGAGCCATCTTACAGATGAAGAGCAGATTACCATAATAGAAGTTTGAAATATGGAGTATACAGAGAATAAGCAACAAAGAATAACAGTAGTGTTGGAGTGTCACTTCAACGTTTGTCATTTTACCTCCAACTTGTGATTGAAAATACACTGAAAGGGAATAAAGTGGTACTGACTGGTTGTGTCTTTTGTATGACTATGTCTGTTTTCAGACTTAATACTTGAGTTATTTCAGAGTTAGAACTCTGATATGATAGTATTGATAAAGCAAATTCATTCTACACACAAGACAAAGGTGATGTCATGTGCGACACCTTTCTGATTTCACCAGAATTGCAAGATGAGTACAACCACTACAGTACAAGCTATTCCCCAGATATACAGAACTTAGCACCATACAGCCTGCATCCTATTTTAGTTTCCTAGTTTAGGGCCCTACCCACTATTTTATACAGAGCTAGAACAGGGATGGAAAGAAGTCCAGATACCGTAATGATGGCTGATGCCTACCTTTTCCAGTAGCATGTGAAAGTCAGGTGAGTGACAACTTCCTTGTGTTGGGAGTCCTTATACTATTACTCACGAAAAGCCTTCTGTGTCCTTTGTCAACCAATGGACCCCTTGCAGTACTTAACAGGAGCAAATACGTTTGCTGTTTGAAGTACTTCAGAAACTTTTCTTACTCAAATTTGAGTGGCAAAAGAACTGGGTCGGATAAACTTTGCTGGCGCCATTACTATAACCAAGGACGTTCTATCACAACACACATGCTGACAGGGCTGAGTCAGTCAGACCATATATAGCGTGCTCTTCCACCCATTAAACTAAACTAAGAAGGACGCTAGAAATCTGGGGTGACAAAACTGCTAGTAGGCTGAAGAATACCACAAATGTTCGCACCCCTAAATCCTAAACAATCAATTTTAATTTTAACTTAAAAGTTAGACTATTATAAACTCAGGAATATACTACACGCGTGTGTAACAATCCATTTCGAAATGGCCTTGTACGTCTTTCACCAACGAAATGTACACCGAGCTTCTGCCCCGACTACATAGACGTTTCTGGATGTAATATATACTGTGTATGTAGCCTCCTTCGCAGACTTCTGAGGGGGCGGCGTCAATTTTTTTCGGGAGTGACGTGAGTTATGCCGCGGAGCGACGATTTTGCCGCCGGGGGAGAGACGGTACTCTCCAGGTAGAGGTTGTGGGGGAATGATCGTTACATTTTTATATATGGCCGTTTCCTTTTGTCCTGACCCCCACCCGTCGGTGGCCGCGGACCGTTTCTTTCTAATGGATACTGCCTTGCCAATTTGATACTGTCTTTTTGCCACCGAGAGGGATCTGCTTGGAGATTAAGAGACGGTTCTTATGCGGCGAAAACGCCTCTCCCCGGCAAATCCCTAGGCGGCAAAACCGTCCCCGCGGTATAACTCGCGTCGCCCCCCCCGAAAAAAAATTAACACCGCCACTTCAGAAGTCTGCGAAGGAGGCAACTACATGATGTACCATGTTCTAAGGTTGAACCGAAGCCAACATCAGCCTTGATGAACGTTTCTTCTGTCCCGACTACATAGGCGTTTCTAGATGTAATATACAAATGTATACCGAGTTCTAAGGTTGAACCGAAGCCAACATCAGCTTGTACATCAGCCTTGGTGGACGTTTGTTCTGCCCGGATCCTGTACTCGGATATCGCACCACATGTCCGACCTTACAAGCAGGGCCGTGTGTCCGGGCATCCAAACATGTGTCGCCACACACGGCCCGAGATAAGTTCAAGTGGTCTGAAATAACCACTGGACAAACTATGTCTATAGAAACAAAGGCCCCGCTAATTAAGATGTATTTAGTTGTGTTAGATAAAGAATCAGATGCCTGATAACGCTCTTAAGTCTTATTTACCAACACAGATCTAGAGCAGATGAAAATTTTATCAATCGTTGCAAACCTTTTGAATTGTTGGAACGCTTAATTCATAGTCAGCGATGTTTATATATTTTATATATATAGCAAAATTGGACTGTGTAAGGATGATATTTCATGTTGTCACGTCGCTCTGTTGTCATAACACGTTCGCAAAAAAATGTTCGAACAGTACATGTATACAAAAAGAGAGCCTAGAGAAAAACGCTTAAAAACACGTCAAAAATAAGCCGCAGCCCTAACCGCTGCTGACGTGGCTCCTGTACTATGGCACCACTTCAGATAGTCAAACGTCCTTGGATAATACAACTGAACTTTAATACGGCGAGGTCACATTTGCCGCAAGTCGTCCTGCGATTTTGACCCCGACGTAGAACCAACCGACCACCGACAAGAATCTTAGACATAATCTCCAAGCAGATCTTTTGGTGGGGGTAAGACAGTATCGGCCAGTCTCAGTAACCATTCCCCCATCCACTTGGGTGGGGAATTCGAAATGGTTACATGCAGGCTGGCCATTTCCCCACCCACTTGGGTGGGGAATTCGAAATGGTTACACTACAGGCTGGCCAATTTGATACTGTCTTACCCCCACCAAAAGATCTGCTTGGAGATTACTTAGACAGCCTTATTCGCAACAATACAGAATATTGTAGGGCACATGCATGACATCTCAACAATGCCCTGAGTTTGAGATCGTACGGCGATCACACAGCGTATGTGACTGCTTTGTGCGGTCTCAGTCACTGACGAAAGCTAGTGGATACTAGCTGAAACGTCTGACCAAAATCCAAAATCATATCCAGTTGCTTGAGTAACTGTTTGTTGGCGTACCGTATTACCTGGATGTCTAACCTTCATCGACGTACTTTGTGCGATACCTATTTTTCACCCAAGTTACACATTTTCCCTTTTACACAGCACAAAGTTTGAATCACAAGGGTCAAGGCTCACCTTTTTAATAAACCTTTCTTAGACTTATCAAATTTCTATATGTATAAATTGCCGTGGCCAAAATTAGCATTGCGGGAATTACAAACATGATGTACGTCAGTGTAGTAGTGAGTCAAACGTTCAAGGTGTGGAGTACTAAGTACTTAGTAAGTAAGGTGGCGTGAGTGTAAGAAACACAAACAAAGGAGCGTCAGCATTCTTTCAACTCTTGGAAACGGTAGGCGCACTACAATAGCCTCCAAGTACGTGCTCGGTTTCTGCTCGTTTTTGTGCACCTGTTTGTCCGTTTAGTACTTCGTTTCTTCTTCCTCTAATCTTCCAGCCATATGGTCCACGGTACAAACCTTGATAAAGGCGGCGTACAAACTATACATCTGCTTGGAGATTCGTAATAGCAATCCAGATGTGAAGTTCGACAGGTTAAGTTCTGTATTCACACTAATCTTGACCTCGATCTCTGACGCACGTTAAACGATGTTTGTTCCTTCGCCAATGCACGTTCGTCAGCATTTAGTTTATAACCAGAAATAAAACTGTAGCTATATATACACAACACACATTGATATATTGCCGCGATATAAAAGTCACAAGTACCTTTTGAAGCACTTGTTTCCTTACCATTCCCGAGATGTTTTGTCTCTCAAATTTCAGAGCAAACAGGATCTAGGAGTGTACAATGTATTTCTTTGATATAATCTTAAACGGGTGAAACGTCGACGCCCAAATGCAGGTCAAAGTCATCAAACTACTTGAGTAGCCGGTTATGTGACGGTGCACGACTTGTTATGTCCCTACACCGGTCACATCTCTTGCCTCGTATGATAGCTTTACGTCATCTAGAGAACTGAGGTCATCCTTGGGACTGTCGCAGGTGTGTTGTAGTAATCTTCCAAGCAGATCTTTCAGTGGACGGTATCACATTGCTAGCCTGGTTACCAAACCTATTATAGCTCCCGAGTCCTACATTCTCTCCGCGGGATCTAGAGGATATATAAACTATAGTAGGTTTGGTAACCAGGCTTTCACATTGCCAAGACAGTATCAAACTGGCAGCTCAGTATCATCAAAACGGTGCCCGCCGCACAGACCAACACATGGTTTGAAAAGTATAGACGGGATGCCATCCTTAAATATACGCGAATATACGACCTTAAACGAAACATTTTGCCGGAGAGCTACGCACAATATAATACATAACGGATGTCGCGAAGGTGGAGAACGTTCTGCCGCTAAACATGGATACCGCGTGCCAGCGTTGCCCTGGTGATGAACACGTTTGAACTTTCCTCTGACCGGCCAGTCGCCATGTCAGGATCACACCACCTTTCGTCACGGGAGGAGGGGGCAGGTATGTAACAAAAAGGGAACACTCCTCAAGTGCAAATTTACGACACGTTTCCGTCTTACTCTGTTCATTCAACCATAGCGAAGGGAAGTTGTGTAAATCTTGTTTGTTTTGTTTGTGAGATCATTTTTCTTATATATTCTTCGCATGTTTGAGCGATCATCATTTGAGCGAGTCACTAAAAGGTCTCAAGTTGGCGATATTTCAGCGGATCTCTCCCAGATTTTCGATACCAGATCTACAGGTGACCAAAGAAGACCGGCGACAAACTATCTTCTGTCTGCTGACGACGGCAGAACAGAGAGGTGAGCTTTTTCGTTTCCTTTTTTTACTTCACGATTTCGTTTTTCATGTGAATATTACTAGTACATTAGACGTACGGTAAGTGTTGTATATAACAGGTGCGATATGTGCATAATCTCCAATCAGATCTTTTAGTGACTGTAAGGCAGAATCAAATTGGCAAGACAGTATCATTATAATGGCTACTCTCCAAGCAGAGGTTTGGGTTTCGGCTTATTTTTGGCGTGTTTTTTTTTATTTTTTATCGGGGTTTCTTTTTTGCACTGGAATTTTCCCCCAACCCTTGCGAGTGCCGGCATTCTAGTGCAAAAAAAGAAACCCCGATAAAAAGTCTCAAAACACGCCAAAAATGAGCCAAACCCAAACCTCTGCTTGGAGAGTTTATTATTTCGCACGGCAATATCTATCCAATACGCCACCCGACAAAAATACAATTCCAAAAAGAAAAGGACGATAAAACTTATAAGACACGTCAAAAATAAGCCAAAGTGAAGTTCAAACCTCTGCTTGGAGCCTGTGCAACCGTGCGGTCGCTGTGGTCATTATGTATAATTAGCAGGCGGAACCGAATCGTGGACTTAACATTGTATCGTTGCCATGTTCAAGAACAAAAGGGCCTCTAGAATTAGCCAGCTTGGCTGACGTTAAAGAGCTACTAGTATGTTACATCATAACTCACCGCAGACGGAGCGCCACTGAATTTGAATTGTTATTCTACCGGAAATGGATTCTTGTTAGGCCTGTAAATCTTCATTTGCTCTAAGAGGAGGATGTCGTTGACTCATATAAGATATTAGTTATGTGGGTGGTGATTGTGTGAGTTGGTTAGGTCGACTACCACTGCGGTACGGCTTCACGATCACGATTGAAGATTAACATCAGTGGCTTTTAAATGGTTTAATCATTACACTGGAATGAACAAAGTTTCAAACGTTTTATTGACCGCTAGGTTAGCAAAGTCACCTTCCAGATATCAAGGTCGCTGGATAGCGGTCGAAACGTCAGTATAGCAAGATCTAGCAACTCTGCTTTGTTCCAGTGTACTGATTAAACCAAGATCTATAAGAATTATATTCCTGGATGAGCAGCATTCATTAAACGTACTATCCAGACGAGCTACTTCATAAGCGTACTATCTTGAAACGAGTTTTGCCTTTTTGCGTGAGGAGATTCCTACTTTTCCTACCCTTCAGGGAAGGGGTCGCTTCTTCTTCTTTTTTTTTCTTTTTCATGTCCAATCGTTTGAATACGATTCGGCAAATTGGTACATCAGTCTTTCCAGTCACCCCTGAAGGATCCTGAAGCCTGGCAAAGCCCTGGTCAGAAACCAAGAGAGCCTTCAGAGGCATTGCAAAGCCCTGGTAGAGACTAGGTTCGGAGCTGAACACGACTGGATACGAGGCAAGTTCAGGCCCCCCACCAAGAATCTTAAGCGACTTTAAGCATATCAAAATAGTCCAGTCGCACTAAAAATGTCAAGGACTAGTGACGACTTTTCCCTCTTCTGAATATCTCGACATCTGCTCTTCCCGCGTCTCCAAGTCTGGCGCGCCGCTCAGAGGGGACCGTTATGTTTGGTCACGTGATCCTGCGTGACCGGGCAGCTGAACGTGAGGTCGTTCACCCCGAGCCCCCATCAGCTGACCCGCCTTATATGGAAGTCGATCGGTCCCGCCTCCCCGTTTTCTCACGTGTCCGGGGGCAATTTATGGACCCTTTGGTTGAGAAGAGCCAGGGCCGGACGTTTATAGCGGCTCGCGCGGGACTTGAGTCGACTGATTGCCCTATTTTTGCCACTCACAACAGCAACATTGGCAAGAATATTATTCTAAGAGTTGCAAATCACCCGGCCAGGCAAGGCTGAAAGGTAAGAGCACGCTGATGTTGTTCAGCCTCCGTTTTCGGCGCTTTTTAAGTTTACAGATTTCACGTTATCTGGTAGCGGAACACATATGTGCCTGTAGGTGCTGCATACTATTGATTTTATATGGAAGTAATCATTCGTTTCTACGTAATCTAACAACGAATAACCGGTGTCTCGGTAGTCGTGTAGTCCATGGGCCATAACCTTCTTGCTCCATGATCCTACATCTTAATTAAAAACATCAGGGGTTCAAACTTAGGCTTTGAAAACGTACGGTCGGGATGGGAAAGTATGTCGTTATCATGCGTGTGTATAAGATACCGGGTCGGCGTGGTGTGTGAGGAAGTACATTAATGAATTCCAACGCTATCCGAAATGGCGATGAAAACCCATAAAAATTACAGTATACGTAACTTTATTACTGCAGCTGTCATTTGCAAGGGAGGGGAGATGTGATTAGGTAGCCACTTAATACCGTTCTCTCGCTGCACTGATGTGAACAGAGTAGAAGAAAATGGAAACTTGTTGATGAAATATTTAAGTTAAAAACAATATTATAGGACACCAACAACTGCGTTGGTACAGGCCATTATAAAGCCAGCTTAAACTGTAATTTCCAACACAAGAAATTGGACTCACGTTACCCAACGTTTGGACAATGCAAACTTCTTTGTCAAGGAGTGAGCAATTCATTTGCATCACACAAGCGGTGGATTGTTCTTTTCTTGACAAAGACCCTAGTTGTACAGTCGAAAATTTGGTATAAGTCCAAATTCTTGTGTTGGAAATCACAGTTTGAATTTACTCCGCAAGGACCCCAACATGACCAGAAAGTGTCCCTTCCATTGCTTTAGAATCAGCATCTTGAATAGATTCTTTTGTCGGCTCTATCTGAACTTTCTCAGCCAAATGACCTTGGCCTCTATGTAACATTACCTACCACCCTCTTCATCTTTTCCCAAATGTGCTGGTTGTCAGCAGGACCACAGGACACCCAAGATATGGCAAATTTCCAAAACTGGGACAGTCCAAAACGATTTGGGGAGGGGGCAGCGTTGTAGCCAGAAGGGGAATAGGTTGCAAAAACCCCCATCCTCCAACCTGCAGGCATTCTTTTATTCATAGAAATATGCATCTTTTTATTACTCTTGCTAGGTTTTTTTTGTATGGTGGAAGTTTTTGTATCTACCTCCTCCTGGAACACTTTGGTACAGTCCTATTATGTTGCCATGACAACAGCCTACCTCAAGATAAGTTGGAGCATAATGGGGTTTTGTTGAAAGAAGAAATATTGACCCTCCTATCAGCAGATCAATGTTAACAGAGATAAAGTACGAGAGTTATATTTATCTTGGCCAAAACAGACATCTGGCAAATACATTCAATGTGGACTGGAAGGAATAAAACTGGTTGCTTGGTCGGTCGTTCAGTTGGTCGGTCAACCTATCCATGGAACCATCTGTTGACTGTAGGTTGCTTACTCAGCTCATCATCATCATCATAACAATTCTTTGAACCAAATTTACAGAGTACAGAGATAGAGGATTTATGAAGGTTACTCTCCTATACGTACAATTTGTCATTCATAATGTCTGTCCTGGATTAAATCATGAGGTTCGTTCCAGTTTGTCTAGGTTGGCATAAGGACATCCAACTGTGAATCCGACTAATGGATTTTGCAAGTCTTTTTGCTGATGTTATGATGTTTGAGCGATGGGTGACAAATACCATCGCTTGAAAAACATACAAAATAGACAACATCAATAATCAACTAGACTAAAAAAAGCTGAATCCATATACATGTATCTGCTTGGAGATCATTGTCAGTATAGAAGAGATAGCTTGGCAAATTCAAGATTCCAGATGGTATTTGATGAAGACAACTCTTTCCATGAAGAAAGTGCCCCTGCCTGAGTGTGGCTTGCTAAAGAGCCCCCTGTTGATGTACAAGGACCTGGCAAGCTTGTCCTCACAAGGAAAGAAATAGATGGACAACCCTGGGTAACCTTGAACTAGCTAGTGCAGTTTACAGGAAGTTTGTTCTGCCCCTGGTTGTTAAAATAAGGACAGATTCTATGCCACTACTGGGGAAATTTGACTGGCCATATTTTACAAGTGCTGCAATGAACACTGAACCAATGGCTTAATGTCTCATCCCAATGGTTGCAACTCTTCCAAGTACATATACCAGGCAAGTTGGGTGAGAAACAACAGCCGACAATTTGAACTCTCAACCTTAGTAAGGTCCAGATGCAGACTCTTCATGCTAACACTAACATGCATATGCTTGGTCAATGTTTTCTTCTTTTTTTTTTTTTTTTGCAATTCAGACAATGGAACAATCAATCTTCTAGCTGTCAATCTGCAAGGTCGATCCAGGCTTGTATTAATTGTTCACTAACATGAAGAGTAGGTTGGTTGGAGGTCATGTTGTTTCAACCTTGCACTTTGTCCTTTTTTTGTGAAAACAATCTACTGGTATTTTTTTCAATTTTTACTGAGTTTCTGGTCTGACATTAGAGGAAGTGCCCATGACAAGTAGCCAAATAAGTGCCAAGTTTCAGGCACACATATTGTTTTCCCCAATATTTGGTCTCCTGCCATCATATCTTGTTTTCTGGTGAGGATATTTGGCCGGGATAAACTGTTTCCCTGGTGACAGTCCTGGGAGAAAACAGGACCCTGGTCTGACAGCCTGACCGGTCAAATGAACTACTCGTGCCAGTAACACTCTCAACAGGGCTGGAAACTAACCTTCAGCCCCAGTGCCCAACAGAATGAATGAATTACATGTAAACCTCAACCAAGAAGCATGGGAGATAATGTTCCAGGTTTGAACTGTTGAAAGGTAAGACAGCTTAAGTCAGATATTGCTGTTTTTCTCTTGATAACATGCAGACTGTTGTGACACATGACTGCAGTTTCTCCTTATAAACATTTGCGCCAAGACTTTAGGTCAGAACTCAGGTCAAGGTCATTGACAACTTCTCAAAGTTTTCACAACAAATTTCAGTCTTTTATGAAAGAGACAGAGGGTAACAGAACACATGAAAAGGATATTTCATGAAAAAAGTGATCCTTAAACGCATTAAATATTTGTTTGGCAGGCTGGACAAGATTTGGCTATGTAGAGTGTGTGTTAGACTCCAAGTGTGTTTTCAAATTGTCACAACAAAGTTGCCGGTTCTCGAAACTTTAACAGTGATTATATTTACTGTAGAATGTCAAATTTACCCTGCTGACAACGAGAATTACTTACATGTTCATCAGTCCTACATGTATTTGTTCCACCAATATTGGATTAGATAGTTCTGAGACGTTTAAGAGAATAATCCCTTGTGTTGTGAGCTGACTCAATTAATATACAATTTTGTTCTTGATTGTAACACACTACAAGTGTCTCTATAGTCATCCATAGACAGTTATTAAAACCCTTTTAATCAATTTTGAGTGCTAGCACCAACTGAGCTGTTTACACAGTGAGTTGGTTTATGTGACTTAGAATAAACAGTTTTAGTCAGTTTTGTCATGCCTCATTACCCCCCACCACCATTCCATATGTTCAGTATCAAACACCAGAACTCAACTAGCTTTGTGCCAGTGTCAGCCACTTAAAAGGTTTATTTTGCCCCCACTAGACTTCTATGCCTGCCGAAAAAAGGGTCAACAAATAGAGTTCAAAGGCAGATGGAGAAAAATACTTTTTTTATCATTCCTCAGATACATTTTTATACAGGTATCATACCTGTATAAAAATGTATATAACATTAAATTATTGAATCAGATACGTTTAGTCTGTATGTTTGTAGCCATGGGTGAATGTACATGAAATAAGAAAATTACTTTATTCAGAGAAGTTTTGTATTAAAATTTTTGTAATGCTGTTTCCCCTTGTGACAGACTTTATATTTTCACCTACATTTGCTTGCAAAAGAGGAATCTTTGGAAGTAGGTCTTGTGATACTGAAGTTAATTTCCTTGCAACAGAAGGGACCTGACAAATATGTTTGGAAGAGCTGCTAGAGAAAACAGGATCTTTCACACCCTTTTCAACAATCAAAGTCAATATATAGTTCCCCTTTGACTGAACAGTGTGCCAAAAGTCTGTGCCAAAAATAGCCACTTCCATTTTTGGCTAGATGTACAGGTGGGAAGTAACCACATTCTTTCTGTGCCAAGTTACCAAGTTCAAAAGTTGATACACAAGCTGTTCTTTTAGGCACTTGTTCCCAATCAAGATTTCTAGACTTAGTGTATTAGTGGCAGGTGTAAAAAAACTTAATATCACATTTGCAACTCGTCTAAGCTCCTGACAGCCAAATACTAGACAACGATTAGACAGGACATTTTTAGGTGGTAGCTTTCATCACACAGATACTGTATGCATTTGGCTGGATTTTTGGCTGTCAAATATTAACTTGAGCATATTCATGACGCATCGGCCGTATTGACCCAGCCAACAGTTGAGATAAACGCCCTAATGTAACAATCCAGGGTGGTTAGGTAAACCGTCGGTAATTCTTGTCATACAACAAAACCGAACCGGTCACACAGCCCTGGTCGTGTAACGTACAGAAGACTTGTTTGGAGAGTTCACGCACTGAGACCGTGGCACAGTTCTTAAAGACAAGTTTGTCTGTGACTTAAGGACTCTTCATTACCGAGACAAGGTATTTGGCTAGGTGCATATCTTAAGATCCGTATCTCTTTTAGCTTATTGCCTTTTGACATTACACACAAATTTTGCAGGTAAGCAATGACAGGTGATTATGTTACAAACATTGAATAACCTGTCAGAGTTAAACATTTCTAACTTTAGGGTTGAGACTAGCTTTGAAGTCTTCTCCAGTACAGTTGTAGTTTTTGATGATAGTTGTTGGGCAGAACAAATTTCTGAGGCGTGAAACTATATCATTGGTGTACTTGATGTAATTATATAACCGTATCAACCATGCCAAACTTACTGTGGAATTTTTGTCATCAACTATTTGAGTGTGATGTAATGTTAGAATCTAGTATATGAGCTTTTTGAAACAATTGTTAGGTGCGGATAAACTCATATTACACTTAAAACAACAAAACAAAGCAGTAGAAGATCTTATATAATTATTGATTTCTCATATGTTAAACTTATGTCTAGGGCTCATTTGTTTGCATGGCAGTTAGGAGGATAACTTTCCATCCATTCATTGGCCAAAACTCACGTCATAGGTTCACGGGGCAATTGTACTGATAAAGACTTTGAATAATGCCATTACGTGTCTGGCTACAGATCGTAACATCTAGTCTTTCCTCTCAAGAGTTGTACATTGTTAAGTGGAACTTGTCATCATCAAATAGAGTATACTTAGTAAGAGCTGTTTTATTAGATTTCAGTTTTTGATTTTTGAAAGTTCTGATCATTCAGAAAAATTGCTGCATCATCTTGTATGCGCAGCTTAACGTATGTTGCGTTAAGTTTTAATTTTACTGTGCTATTCAACCAGTGTTCATTTTGAGCTTTTGTATTGATCTACCGGTACAATTGAGAGTTGCCAAAGATTTCTTGTTACTGAAAATCTAATTGGAGGGATGGGTTTTGTGTGGCATACTATAGGAGAGACATCCTATGCCTGTTGACAAATACGCTTTGTGAGGCCTAAGCACTGATTTGTCTCTAGTGAAGTTATGTAACTGATAGGTACTTAACAGCATCTCATATGAGGGGGCCCGCAAGCCCTTTTCCGTAGAGCGTAATCGGCCATTTTAATTCTACGTACGTAGAGCATAGACGGACCGCCCTAATATTTTTGCATAGAGCGTATTCGGCGTTTTAATTCTACGTAATGTGTTGTAGCCACTTGGAATTTATCGTAAAGCGTAATCAAGAGGTTTCCGAATTCAGCGTAGAGCGTTGTCGGGACCCCCCCTTGCAGGCTCTAATATGAGGAAAAACAAGAGAACCTCTCAAGGTCGTGCAACACTGGCAAGATGAGGGCAATATAAGAGTCGTGCATTGTTTTTAGAACAGGTTATATGGACCTGACCCTACAGGTTATCTAGACCCAGCCCCACAGTCCAAAGTCTCAGGGCTGTTATCTGTGTTTGTGTGGCAGACCACGTGTTGCCAGGAGCAGCTGGATGAAGGTGGACTTTACATCTCCTTTTCTTCAAGGCCTGATAAGGCCACACGTACTGGTTTTTGATTTGTTCGATGTAGCATCATGGCTCTGAAAAAAATGGAAATGGTACAGTAATAATTCTAACATCCGTGTCCATAATATCACCAGGGTCCATAACATCGCCGCCCTTGAGAAATAGTGTGCTTTAAGATATTTTTACTGCGACATACTTTTGGTATGCACTCCTTCACACATCAAATGTATATACCTAGGGTATGTTGCAGTAAAAATATCTTCAAGCACACTTTTTCTCAAGGTGGCGATATTATGGACTATGGTGATATTATGGACACAGATGTTACATGAAAACATGTGTATATGTATGCATACATCCAACATGTACAGCTCCAGTGAGAGACTGTAATAATTTATCATTATTGAAACAAAAGGAACTGAAAGAAACCTTACAGTTGCCTGCATTGCGGTTGACTGATGATGATGGCAGTGGCCCAGTGGTCCATTGTGTGTATTGGAAATCAACCTTATACAGGAATATTCTTCTTAAGTCTAGCTAAAAAAAACACACAGTCTCACACAGAAACACACTGTGACACACACACACACACATGTTAGAGAAACAGTAACCTCATGATGTATATAGTAGAGGGGATTCATTCCCCAAGCTAACCGACATCTTGCACACGCAGTCGTCCCTCAGTAAGACATCTGGAGCCGCATAGTTCCCATTTAGAACTTTTATTCAGCCTGCCACATGACCGGTTTCACCTGTGTTGCTTCTTCAAGTGTACAGAGGCTAATGACACAAGTGCATGAAGTTCTCACTTATATACCTTTCCAGTGCATAGTGACCTCATGATGTGTTTTATCCAATTCTTTACAGGTTAAAGGAGACATCTTTGGGCCATGGGTGATCAGGATTCCCTCAACCCGCGCAGATCCAGCAGCCCTCCCCCTTCTTACGAAGCCGCCATTCGCGACCCCGTTGTCATGGCAGCGACACGGAGACAGAGCCCCGAGTACGACAACTCCAGTTACGAACCGAACGAGGACGACCACAGTTCCAGGAGACAAGACTCCCTCGTCTCGAGCGGATCGGAAACTGAATCTCAACGCGTGAACGGAGAAACACAGACAAACGAAGATGAATTTGATGACGACTTTCCGGCGGAGGGCACCTCTGCAAATGGTTCAGTAGTAGCCAACGGAGATGCGGACATTAAGATTTTTTCACAGGTGGCACCCATCTGTCGGAGGAAATCTTATGAAGATGCGTTTGAAATTACGAGTAGCAGTAAAAAGTAAGTCTTTGCGTTAACAGGTGACTAAGGTGGTTAAGTTGCAGAAATGCACAGTTGTATCCAAAACTATGGAATGATGAAGTAATCCCTTTTTGTTTCTTAAAATGGTGCCTTTATAATGGGCTAGATGATACCCCTGTCTGGAATATGTTCAGATGTATTCTGGCCAAGGATAGTTTGGCCAAGGGTATATTCTAGCCAGGGGCATATTATTGCTAGTGGTATATTCTAGCCTGCAACACCTGTAATATCTAACTTCAGAAGTTAGTATTTATTTCTTTTTCCAGGGGAAAGCAAGATTGTCAAAAATAAGTGCTAATTTTTTTGGCTTGCCTTCAACAGGAAAAGAAAATGGAAGGCCAAGAAAGAAAAGGAAGAGAAGAAAGAAGAAGAAGAAAAGACAGAAATGATTGGCTTCTTTGAGTTGGTAAGTAGATACAATCCTATCTCTTTACTACTCACTTTAAAGCTTTTAAGACTAGTTCAATTACAAGGTAATTAAATGATTTAGGAAAAACAGAGCCTGAAGAGAAGTCTAGACGTAGTTTCAGCAAGACATTAGTGAATACATGGTATTATTAAAAGTTTTACTACTAGCCCTCTTTATTCATGTTGTCCTCTTGATTCTTGTTTGTTTGTTCTAGCCTTTCTTTGTTCATGAAATACTCATCAAATCAGCCTGCTGGCCGACAAGATACAAGCTACATAATTGAAGACATTAACAAATCCATAAACATGACTTTTGGTCTAAAGATTCTCTCTCTCTTGCAATTTCTTCAGATGCGCTACGCTGACAAAGTCGACGTCATCTACATGATCTTGGGCACCATATGTTCCGTCCTTGACGGTGTGATGCAGCCCATTCTCCTCTACGTGATGGGTACCATGGTGGACGTGTTCACCAACTACGGCAAGTTTGACGCCATCTGTAAGGAAGTCTTTGGATACTCCAGTATCTACAACTGCACCTTCGACAATGCCACTTTTGCCAACTTCAGTCTGACTGAAGACCATTGGAAGTAAGTCGTGTTTTCAGTGTCTTCTTGCAAAGGTTCCAATCCATTGATTCAAATTTGATGACTCTTGTTATACAATGATTTTGAGACCTCGAACACAATACAAGGGTAGAAAATTAATGTACTAGTAGCTAGTTCTGTCTTCTGTCTAGATCGGTACTTCATTTAATATACTCATTTCTTATTTCAAAATTATAGAAAGGCCCTTACAATGTACATGCATGTAGTACAGTATTACACAAAATCCCAAATGTCTTAATACTAGTACTTTAAAGTAAGAGTAGTCTTGCCATTACATAAACTTTTTCAATATCACTAAAGAGTAAACCAATGTTGCCATGAGACCTGACCATTCTGGAACCTCCAACTGAGTTGTTCTGACTGATTTTTCCCCAGTGATGCGTTAGGGATCACAATTGTCATGGCGGACCTGGCGTACTATTTCGTTGGCCTGGCCTTCGGTGTGGTGATATTCGGGTATCTCCAGGTTTGTTTGTTTCTTTCTTTTTCTTATGTAGCACATAATAGTGACCCCTCCTGATTTCATTATTATAATGGTACGGATGTAGATGTATGCTGCACAAAGAACTGACTTGTTTGAGCCATTGCAGAAATGGATGTACTCCTACTTTGAGCTCAAATTACTGGGTTGAAGAGATTTGTTCCACATGTAACTAGCCTGGTTACCAAACGTATTTCAGCTGCCAATCCTTTTTCGAAGTTGAGTCCTCTCCAAGTTGCAGATAGGAGACTAGGAGACAGCTAAAACACACTTGATAAACTGAGGCTAACATGTAACTTGACATCCCCACCTTTACAAGTAACATGTAAATCATGGTGAAGAATTTTAATTTCAATTTAGGCCACACCAATTTAATTTGTTGGTTCTCGGATTCGCCTCTTCGTTTTTTTCTGATTTGCAAAAAAAAAAAAATTGATTCTGGTCCCGAATCAACTGAAAAATGCTTATGTTTTGCCCCCCAACAGTTGAGGAAAGTCCTTTTCTTCCTAGTTGTTACAGTTTTCCCATCTGTCGTTGCAGTGGTTTGATTAAAAGTTCAAAATTCAATGTTTAAATTTTAACCCAGCCTTTTGTGTTGACTTCATGGCTCATTTTGTAGCATTTAAGCCTATAATAGGATGCCTAGACCTGTTTTTATTTTTATTTTTTTTCGCCCTGTCGCTTCATATTTTTTCTGAAAAAATCCGAGAACCAACAAATTAAATTGGTGTGGCCTTATTTATTTAACCATTCAATTTTCAATTTCAATTTATTTATTTAACCATTCAATTTCCAATTTCAATTTATTCAATTAACCATTGCCTGCTTTTCAGGTAATCCTGAATACACATAAAAATGGCTCGGTTGGGATCTCTAATAATCTCATCTCTAATAATCTATTTCACATAACAGATAGCCTTCTGGACGCTGGCGGGGGCTCGGCAGACCCGGCGGATTCGCCAGAACTTCTTCCGCGCCATCATGAGGCAGGAGGTCGGCTGGTTTGACACGAATCCAAGCGGGGAACTCAACTCTGTGCTCGCCGAGTAAGCTCATCAGACAACAATATTGCTATAATTATGTTTATAGACCTAATTCATACAAAAATTCCACCAATATTGCATAACGTCTGGTAGCACAAATAGCAGGGTTGGTAGGGAATGTTTTTGTGCTCTTATTCTTATTTTCTGGCACATTTGCAATTTTCTCAATTTTTTTACACAATCTTTTTTCCCAACTTTTCCTGGTCAGTTCTTCATTCAATTAATCTATACCTTGTATCCATCATTATTTGAAATGTCTGCTACTGCTTTAGCATCCCAGTAAAAGACGATACCATTTTCCTAGAGTAGCTACAGGTGTACTTCATAGACCTTCTTCACTGTGATTTAATTAAGTTTAACCCTGTGCTGTTTTTTCTCTGTTTTAGTGACATGAACAAAGTCCAAGAAGCCATGAGTGACAAGGTCAGTATGTTTATCCAGCGCATGACGACCACGTTCGGCGGGCTGATTCTGGGCTTCACGCAGAGCTGGAAACTCACTCTGGTCATCATGTTCGGCTGTGCTCCCCTGCTGTTCATCGGGGCATACATCATATCAAAGGTTAGTATCAAACTAGGAGTTAGTGCCTCCTAGAGGAGAAATTGAGTGCTGTAGCCTGTAGGTTAAGGAGATTGACTGCTGCAGAATGTCATAATTGTTCATTTTTCAATGCATATCTGGTCATATTTGAAGAAAAAAAATCCATTGTATTAAAAATTGACACCTTACAAAATTTGTAAATTTTGTTCAAATGTTCTTGGATCTGCATCTGTTGAACGTTAAAATTAATTTCATATGACGTAAATTATCTTAATTATAAAATTCCCCTTCCACCTTGAACAGTTACTTTTTTCATTATGACTTGTCTAGTATATTTTTCAAGCTGTAGTCTAATTTCCATTAGCTTGATCCTCGTAAAAGTAATGTTTCATCTTGATATTTGCTTTCAACCATGTTTGGAAGGCAATGAAAACAAAAGGATGAAAGATCTAATATCCATTTAACTTCCAGGCCACAGCGACCCTGTCAGAGAAGGTGTCAGCTGCCTACAGTAAGGCTGGAGCTGTGGCCGAAGAGATTCTGTCATCCATACGGACTGTGGCAGCTTTTGGAGGGGAGAAAAAGGCAGCGGACAAGTAAGAACATCTATCTTCTAAATTTTTACATCTTTGTAAAGTAAAGTCTCATAGTATGTTTGTTGCTAGCCATACTGTAGCCATACTTTGTATGTTTGTTATAACCAACCTAAAGTTAGCCCTCCTTTCGGCCTTCGATTCGCCAGCCTTCGATTGAGCCTTCGATTCGAATGGTAGGCACTATATCGTATACGTCTCAGGTGCGGAAGCATTCTACTGTCCCATATATGCAAATGAGCACGCATACAGTATGTAAATAGACATTGCACATACGTATGTCAAACCAAACCACAACCTTTCAGACTCTGTATTCATTTGATTAAATAATCTTCTAATCTTTAACTACCAAATGAGTTTTAATAATCTTTAAGTGGTCGATACTATCGAAATGAATCAACGCACATGGATTCATCTTCACGTCAAAGATTCAAGAATGCCGTCCAGGACCGCACCCGACATGTTTCAATTAGACGCCTTGTTGCAAAGTAACGAAATAATTTTCTGTATTCAAATGTTTTTAACAATCTTTTAGCGGTCTATACCATCAGATAAAACTGATAAAACTAACGTACATTACGAAGTTTAGATGTCATGACGTCATAGATTAAACAATACGGATTTTCGAGGATCGCAACACTAGTGGATGCATAGAGAATTAACGCCATGTTGCAAAGTAACGGAATAATTTCTAGAAACCAAATGTCTTTTAAAAATTCTCAAGAGGTCCATACCACAAAATTCGACTGATAAAACCAACGCACATTGCGTCATTTGGACGTCATGACGTCATATATTCAACCATACAGATTTCTAGGGCCAGAATCCCTGTTTATATAATTATATTCAACTACTCCTAGCTAATTAACGAAATAATTCTTTGTTTTTAAATCAATTTTAACAGTCTTTTAAAGGTCAATACCATCAAATAAAACTGATAAAACTAACGCACATTGCGTCGGTTTGACGTCATGACGTCATAGATTCAACCAAACATATTTCTAGGGCCAGAATCCCTGTTTATATAATGATATTTAACTACTCGTAGCTAATTAACGAAATAATTCTTAGTTTTCAAATCAACTTTAACAATCTTTTAAAGGTCCATACCATCAAATAAAACTGATACATCTAACGCACATTGCGTCGTTTGGACGTCATGACGTCATAAATTGAACTAAACAGATTTCTAGGGCCAGAATCCCTGTTTGTATGATATTCAACTACTCGTAGCTAATTAACGAAATAACTTTTAGTTCTCAAATCAATTTTAACAATCTTTTAGAGGTCCATACCACCAAATAAAACTGATACAACTAACGCACATTGCGTCGTTTGGACGTCATGTCGTCATAGATCCAACACTCGATATTCGATATTCAGTATTCAACTCAATATTCAACTTAACTACTCGTAGCTAATTAACGAAATAATTTTAAGTTTTCAAATCAATTTTAACAGTCTTTTAAAGGTCCATACCATCAAATAAAACTGATAAAACTAACGCACATTGCGACGTTTGGACGTCATGACGTCATAGATTCAACCATACAGATTTTTTGGGCCTGAATCCCTGTTTATATAATGATTTTCAACTACTCGTACCTAATTAACGAAATAATTTCTAGTTCTCAAATTCAATTTAGCAATCTTTAGAGGTCTATTTCATCAAATAAAACTGATAAATACTAACGCACATTGCGTCGCT